GCCTTTCCACTGTCCTTCCGCTGGTGGTGCCCATGCCCCAGACAGCAGCTGTGTGTTCCAGGGCAGCCTTGCATGCCCTGCTCCCAGGAGTTGCCTTCTTTGTGGCTTTGAAGCTTTCTAGCCTGGGATTTGCCCATACGGGGTGCCGGGGATGGCGCCGGGTCAGAGGTCAGAGGCGTGCAAGGCAACGCCCCGCCAGTGATTCTCTCTCTCTCTCTCTCTCTCTCTCTCTCTCTCTCTCTCTCTCTCTCTCTCTCTCTCACTCGCCCCGCACCCTGAGCTCTCTCACAGGCTGCCAGGTCCTAGCCGATGTGCCAAGCCTCGGGAAGCCGGTGAGCTTTCTAAAAAACACTTACTGTCAGACTTCTAATCATGCACTAATCTGATGCCTAGAGACAGTCTTTTTATTGCCTCATTAAAACAACTTTAGACGAATGGAGTCAAAACATCATACTTTCACGTTCCAGGAAATGGATGCCCTGGTTCGTTTTACTGGATTAGTATTTATGGAAAGCCCGCAAAGGGCCTGGCCCGCCCAAGCGGCCGGCTGGCCTGCAGGGGTAGCAGAGGGGCTCGCAGCTCATCCTCACTTTGCAGGGGAGGGAGGCAGAGTTGAATGCCTTCGGTCAGCTGACAGGGAGCAGGCCAGAGTGCGGGCCGAGCGGTCAGGCAGCAGGATGAGCCTTGAGTGTGTGCGGGTTAGCTGGGGTCCCTAGGCTGCTCAGGGAAGGCCCCTTCGGCAAGCGACATGTGGTTGAATGCCTGGAGGCGGCAAAAGAGTAAGCTGTGCATGGAGGCCGCTAAGGAAGAACATTCTAGATGGAAGGGTTAGAAGCCCGGTAGGGGGCCAGGCCTGGCATGCCCGCGCAACTTTGAGGGGTTGACAGGGAGACAAGTGGGAGATGAGGCTGGAGAAATGGGGGGGGGGGACATCTATCACCCTGGATCTCCAAGGTCGTTCTAGAACTGTGACTTTTACTCCAGTGTAGACAGGAAGTCGCTGGGTGGCCTTGCCGTGCTGCGTGATTCGAGCTGACGTCTATATTATAGAAACTGTGACCGAATATAGAGATTTGACACGTGGTTGAAGGGCAGAAGCCAGTAAAACAGTGATCCAGGGGAAGCATCATGGTACTTTTCCATTACTTTTTATTAAATTGTTTTTGTTTCTGTCTTTTGGGCCACACCCGGAGATATCCAGGGGTTACTCTTGGCTCTGTGCTCAGGAATTAGTGCTGGTGGTGCTCGGGACCATATGGGATGCTGGGGATCGAACCCGGGTCTGCTGAGTGTGAGGCAAGAGCAGGCAAGTGTCCGATCTGCTGTACTATCCCCCTAGTGCCCAGGGGCTTTTTGAAGCTCATCCTCCAGGGCTGGGGAGATGCTCAGAGACCTCGAATCTGCACAGCTTTGCATGTGGGAGTTCCTGGTTTGATTCCCGGCCCCGCATGGTCCCCAAAGCACCACTGGGTCTGCCACATTCCCCAATAAGAGAAAAAATTATTAAAAAAAAAAACCCTTAAGACTTTTGCTATTGTTCTTCCTTTGGGGACACACCCTAATTGCCCAGTTGTACTCAGAGGCTGCTCGTAGCTCTGCGTGGGGGTGGGGGTGGGAGACACCCTCCTGGTGGTGCTCAGGGGCCAGGTGGTACCACGGATCAAAGCCAGGAGCCCTCGGGAGCAGGGGTCCAAGTGGTGGGCAGGAGGGAGGTGGCGGGGTTACCGACAGTTGACCCCGTGGGGGTGGCGCGCCTTGCCCATGGCGAATCATACCCATCTGTAGAGGAACCGGAAATTCTTTTTTTCCTTTTTCTTTTGGCTTTTTGGGCCACACCTGGTGATGCTCAGGGGTTACTCCTGGCCCTCCGCTCAGGAATTACTCTGGTTGGTGCTCAGGGGACCATACGAATGCGGGCAGACGCCCTCCCCACTGTGCTAGCTCTGGTCTGCAGACGGCTCCTTTTTCCTGTTTCTGTTTAGTTTGGGCCGCGCCTGTCTTCCCACCCCAGGTTGTTCCTGGTGGTTGCCGAGGGGTGGCAGGAATGACACCCCGGCCTCCTGTGTGCGCGCAGCTGAGCCCGGCCCGCGGTGCTCGCTCTCGCCCCATCCGGCGGGATTGCCTTTGTTCCAGGAGCACTTTCAGGGCTTTCCCCTGGTTTTTCGCCTCTTAATGGATTAGTCCAGAAAAAATGAGTCACTTTAACATTCTTCTTTGGGCTGGACTTGGAAGTTAGGCACATTCTGTTTTGTTTTTATTAAAATCTTCACACATGGAATCATTTGACTTGAGTAGCAGTAGAAGGATCCAAGCCGACACTTCTTAGCTGCAGCTTCACTTAACCTTCAAGGACTTCCTTCCCCGGAGCCCCAGGGCCAGTTGATCTTGGTGCCCTTTGCGTTTTTGTCTGGGGGCCACACCCGGCTGTGCTGAGGGGTTAGTCTTGGCTCAGTGCTTGGGGGTCGCTGCTGGTGGCCCCCGGGGGTCCCTGATGTGCCAGGAATTGTACCTGGGCCTCTCTCCTGCTCAGCCTGTGCATAGCCCTTTAAGCCGGGCCCCAGGCCCGCGTTCACTGCACTCTCAGTTGTCCTTAGGGGGAAAGGCAGCGGACAAATGGGGTCCCGGGTCCTGCAGCCTCTGACCTTTGACCACTGTCCCGCGTCTTCCGCAGGGTCTAGTTCCCCAGGATCCTGCTTGCACCGAGGGTGCAGACACAAAGGGAAGGAGGCCAGGGTCCTGCCCTACTGGGCACTTGGCCTGGTTCGCCTCTCGGCCCTGCCCCTGGAGAAAGTGCTTAGCAGAGTGGTCCCAGGTCACGGTGTCAGCACCATCAGGCCTCCCTCCGTCCTTGCCGCCACCTGGCAGCACAGCCCTCGTTCTGGGACCCACTGGGGCTTGTACTCCTGGCCGCAGTGCTTGCCTGCCTTTCACCGCAGTGTTTGCTGGGGGCTGCAGCTCTTGATTGGGGGTCTCCCACACCCCTGTGCTGGAAACCGCAGCCAGTTGCAGAGGGGGGGTCTCAGAGAACAGCCTGGACTGCACTCGGCACAGGGGGCGATCCCCAGGGATCTGGCTGGCAGCTGCCCGTGGCTCCGCCCAGGCACTTCTGACCGTTGCGTGCCGAGGTTGCAGGGATGCCCGCCCACTCCCCCTCTACTGTATGAGTGGCTATGCCAGAATTGAGCATCGATCCCCCAGAATCGAGAGCCGGGTGAGTGACTTTTGTCGTGAACTTTCAGTTTTTCACTTAAAAAACATGAGCAAGGGGCTGGAGCAATAGCACAGTGGGTAGGGCATTTGCCTTGCACGCAGCCGACCTAGGTTCGATTTCCAGCATCCCATGTGGTCCCCTGCGCACCGCCAGGAGTAATTCCCAAGTGCATGAGCCAGGAGTAACTCCTGTGCATTGCCGGGTGTGACCCAAAAAGGAAAAAAAAAATCACAAGCAAGCGGAAGCTGCTCTATCTGGGCTCTGGCGGGCACTTCCTTGGCAGCGAGCGGAAGAGGGGCCTGGCACCTCGAGGAAGGCTGCTGGTGGCACTGGTGCCAGTCATGGGAGTATTAAGGTGGACGGCAGAAGCTTGGGGCCCTTACCGCTTGCCACCCGGAGCATGGCCACTTCCGTTCTTTCCCCTTGGTTGTTTTGGGCCACGTCCAGTGAGGCTGGGGGGCCACCGCAGTGTGGGGGGCTCAAACCTGGGCCCGCTCCTACCAGGCGTGTGCTCCCCCGGCTCTTGTGCTCTTGTGCTCCCCCGGGCCCCGCTTCCCAGCTCTTAGAGACTCATCGGAAGAAGTCGAGGGTGGCATTCCCAGACAGGAGTTGGCGATATCGGGCCCCAGAGTGTGTCAGCGTCAGACGGGAGCTGGTAGCACAAGGGACCAAAGTTTAGTGTTCCAGTGACAAGTGGCAGCGTGAGTGAATCCAGTGTGAGCCGGAGGTCAGCTCTCAGGGCGGGGCGGGCTTCTGCTCTGGCCAGCCCCGTGACGGCCAGCCGCAGGGAGAGCCTGCTCACGGCCCATTTCACGAGCTCTCTGGAGAAATGCCTCTGCAGGTTTTTGGCCTACTTAAAAAAGTGGAATCGGGTGGTCAGAGGGATAAGACAGTGGTTAGCGCGCTTCTCTTGCACATAGCTGGTCCCCGGCACCCCATGTAGCCCCCGATCCCTGCTGGGAGCGATCCCGGAGTACAGAGCCAGGAGTAAGCCCTGAGCACTGCCACGCGTGGTCCCAAAACACAACAAAAAATGGGATTAGGACTGGAGAGATAGTCCCGGGGCCAGAGGCTTGCCTTGCCCGTGGCAGACCTCCGTCCTGTCCTCAGCATCTGATGTCCCAAGTTCACCGAGGAGAGACCCCGGTGCTCACCAGTGTGAACTGACCACCACCTCCCCCTGCCCCGCCAGTGATATTAGTTATTTTTCATTGTTGAATTGTTTCTTGGTTTTTGTTCTATATTTTTTTTTTGCCACACCCGGCCCTGCTCAGGGCTAGCTCCTGGCTTTGCACACAGGGATCACCCTAGGTAGGCTTGGGACCATAGGGGTTGCCTGCAATCCACCTGGGCTGGCCATTGTGAGGCAAACGCCCTCCTTGCTGGACTGTCGCCCGGTCCCCGGGCCAGAGTCTTGACTCACTTGTGGTGCTCGCGGACTTCCTGATGGTTCTCGAGGATGGGGGAGAACCACGTGTGCTTGTTGGAGGCTGTGTTGCCTGCCTCAGTGCCCCCGGGTTGCGCCCTGCTCAGCTGTGGCGCCCACACCCGCTGGCTACTGTGAGGCAGCTCTGCGAGTCCGGGCCAACGGTCATGGGGCTGTGCTTGGCACGGGTGGTCCCACGGAGGGCTGCACATGGGTCCTTGTGCTCTGCTGGCCCTGGCCAGCCCCTGAGCATGGACGTCTGTGCTGTTTTGTCCGATTCTCTCTGCTCAGCTATTCACGTGGGGTCTAGTTCTGCATCTTCTGTGGCAGAGTCGCTCAGCCCCCTGCTGTGCTGTCTTGCAGGTTCCTGGTGATGACATGGCGTCTGCCAGCGCCAGCCGGGCTGGAGCGGCCCCGCCTTTCGAGAAGTCGCAGCTCACGCTGAAAGGTGGGTGGCACTGACGGGAGTTGGTGGTCGAGGTCTAGCCCGGTGCCTGGTGAAGGGGCACGTGCACCAGGCAATGGCTTGAGTGTGCATGTGTATGTGTACGTGTGTTTATGTGTGTGCATTGTGTGTGTGCATGTGTGTTTGCATATTTGTGTATCTGTGCATTTGTGTGTGTGTGTGTGTGTGTTCATGTGTGTGTGTGTGTGTGTGTGTGTGTGTGTGTGCCCGGGATGGAACTCAGGGAGGGCTTCATACATGCCAGACAACTGCTTTGTTGCTGAACCACTTTCCTGGAATTTTTGTTTTTTAACCATTCCCCCCACCTCTTTTTATTGAATCGTCATGAGATGCACAGTTCCAAAGTTGTTAGTGAGTGGGTTTCAGTCATACAATGTTCCAGCACCCAAGAGCTGGAATTCTTGAAGAAGGAAGAGTTTTTTTTTTTTCATTTATTCTTTTCTTTTTTTCCCCTTTTTTGGGTCACACCTAGCAATGCTCAGGGGTTACTCGTGGCTCTGCACTCAGAAATATCCCTGGCGGTGCTTGGGGAACCATATGGGATGCTGGGGATTGAACCCGGGTAAGCCACATGCAAGGCAAATGCCCTCCCCGCTGTGCTGTCGCTCCGGCCCGGAAGGAAGATTTGTTGGCAGGAATGTCTGATGTGGTTCCTTCACACCCAGGGTTGTTCTGTGGGTCCATGTGTCATAACTTTTTTCCGACCGTGTCCCCCCTGTTCTGACCTTGTTTCTTTCTGCGGCGCCACTGCCCGCGTTGCCCCAGCTTCATTCCGTGGCCCTTTTATTTATGCAATTTTCACCAACCCCTTGGAATATTCAGTTGAGAAATGCTTTTCTAGGTGATGGTCAAGTGTGTGGTTTTCTTTTCTAGAGGATGGGGAGGGGGATCGCAGTGGTTCTCCGGGCTTACTCCAGGCTCAGTGCTCAGGGGTTATTCCTCCTGGTGCTCAGGGGACCCGGGGTGGCTACACACAAGGCAAGTCCCTCACCTGCTGTTGTGTCCCTCTGACCCTGCTTGTGGCTTTCAGGGCCACCTTCCTTGATCCCTGCCAGGCGGAATCTCTTTCCTTTCTGGAGGGTTCTCTTGAGTGGAACGTAGATGTTCTAGGGGAGAGATATTTGATCTGGTTTGCTGACTGTTGGTTCCCCAGTGACCTATCAGGGGCCCTTGGTTAGTATTGCTGGAATGAGAGCTATAAGGCTCAAAGCGGGACGCCAGCCTCTCACACCTCTAATACTTGGCAAGCCTCAGTCAGAGTAGTCGCACCTGGAGCCTGGTGCCATCCTGAGCTCTGCTTTGGGCCCCTAATATTCTGGAATACACATGGGCTTCCAGAGGTTTTGGTTGCATTTCCTCAGAATGATTTTGGGCATTTTCCTTCCTTCCTCTTTTCCTTCCTTCCTTCCTTCCTTCCTTCCTTCCTTCCTTCCTTCCCCTTCTCTCTCTCTCCTTCCTTCCTTCCTTCCTTCCTTCCTTCCTTCCTTCCTTCCTTCCCCTTCCTTCCTTCCTTCCTTCCTTCCTTCCTTCCTTCTTTCCTTCCTTCCTTCCCCTTCTCTCTCCTTCCTTCCTTCCTTCCTTCCTTCCTTCCTTCCTTCCTTCCTTCCTTCCTTCCCCTTCTCTCTCCTTCCTTCCTTCCTTCTTCCTTCCTTCCTTCCTTCCTTCCTCTTTTCCTTCCTTCCTTCCTTCCTCCCTCCCTCCCTCCCTCCCTCCCTTCCTTCCTTCCTTCCTTCCTTCCTTCCTTCCTTCCTTCCTTCCTTCTCCTTCCTTCCTTCCTTCCTTCCTTCCTTTTCCTTCCTTCCTTCCTTCCTTCCTTCCTTCCTTCCTTCCTTTTCCTTCCTTCCTTCCTTCCTTCCTTCCTTCCTTCCTTCCTTCCTTCCTTCCTTTTCCTTCCTTCCTCTTTTCCTTCCTTCCTTCCTTCCTTCCTTCCTTCTTTCCTTCCTCTTTTCCTTCCTTCCTTCTTTCCTTCCTTCCTTCCTTCCTTCCTTCCTTCCTTCCTTCCTTCCTTCCTCTTTTCCTTCCTTCCTTCCTTCCTTCCTTCCTTCCTTCCTTCCTTCCTTCCCCTTCTCTCTCTCTCCTTCCTTCCTTCCTTCCTTCCTTCCTTCCTTCCTTCCTTCCTTCCCCTTCCTTCCTTCCTTCCTTCCTTCCTTCCTTCCTTCCTTCCTTCCTTCCTCCAGAATTGGCAGGGCCCTAGGCTTACTTCTGACTCTGTGCTCAAAGATCACTCCTGGCAGGGTTCGGGGAACCATGTGGGGTGCTGGGGATCGACCCCGGGTTGGCCGTGTGCAAGGCCAGTGCCCTGTGTGTTGTGCTGTCGCCCTGGGCTCCATGGGCACTTTCTGACCAGTGTAGAGAGCGGACCATAATGCAATTCAGCTTGTGTCTTTAACTTCAGGGACTTTGTGATCCCATGCAGGGAAAACGGGGAGAAGGAGAAAGCGAGAATGCAGCAACGGTTTGGCGGGTGGTTCTCCCGGCCCTCCCCAGCTGGAGCCCAGGGTGTCGTGTGGGGCGTGTCGCTGTGCCTCCCCCGCTGCTTTCGTTCCTGTGTGTCTCTTTGTAGCCTGAGCCTGGAGTTTTAAGATAGACTTTGAAAAGACATCAAGGTCCTGAAACAGAAGCTATTTTGTCTGATATTCAACTCAAGAACCCTGGAATACCGAACACCGAAAAAATGCAGCATGAAAGTAAACCGGTGGTGTGGAGCCCGTGGGAAGTTAACCTGCCAGTCTCTCCCGTGCTGCCGGCCCACGACCTTTGCAGGGTCCACTTTTGAGACCACATGTGATTTATTTTTAATCTTATTTCGTGACTTTATTTATTTGGTATTTGGGCCACACCTGAGGTGCTCCAGGCTTATTCCTGGCTCTGCACTCAGGGTTCTCACCTGGCGGGCTCAGGGGACCATGTAGGGTGCCGGGGATTGAAGTCGGGTTGGTCGTGTATAAGGCGACCGCTGCCCTGCTGCTCTGGCTTCTTTTTTTTTTTTTTCTGCTTTTTGGGTCACACCTGGCGATGTTCAGTGGTTACCCCTGGCTCTTTTCTCAGGAATTACTCCTGGTGGTGCTCGGGGGACCATATGGGATTCCAGGGATCTAACCTGGGCCAGCCGTGTGCAAGGCACATGCTCTCCCTACTGTGCTATTGCTCTGGCCTTAGGGCTCCCTTATATTTTGAGTTTAAAAGCTAAATTCTTTGCGAAGCTGTGCCTCTGTGTAGAAGAAGTTAGCGTTTCTGTATCATCAAACGTGTCCTCAATTTTGGAGATCAAGTTACTTGTATCTTGAGGCTCTTGGTTGTCATTTTTCATTGTTATGGTTTTATGTTTTTTGGGCCACACCCGGTGATTACTCCTGGCTCTGTACTCAGGAATTACTCCTATGAATGCTCGGGGGGCTATATGGGATACCGGGGAACTGAACCCAAGTCGGCTATGTGCGAGGCAAGCACCCTAACCCCTGTGCTGTTACTCCGCCCCCTTGGTTGTCTTTGAAGAACAAGAAATACTTAACATTATCAGTGCATTGGTGAATTATACATTAGAGAGGAGAAGATACATCTTTACTGGGGACTAACCAGACAGCACTGCAGTATCTAGATCAAAGCCTCCCCACAGAGGACACTTCGGTGTATCCAGAATGAGACCCAGAGAGATAGTCTGTTGTTGTGCTTCTGACAGAAACACTCAACTCGGGTAAAATTGCAAAGAAACTATCAGAAAAATGTAGAATCTGGCCGCTTCTCTCAGACAGCAGTTGGAAGGATCTCTTTTAAAAATCATTGTCATGGAAGAAGAAGGGAGCGCATTTGAGATTTTAAAAAACCAGAGTGACAACTTCCAAATGCAATTGGTTCATCTTAATATATATGTGTATATGTATATATATATATCATATAATTTTTTTTTATTTGGAGGACTTTTAAGCTGTGGAGGGGGAGAGAGTGAGAGAGAGAGTAACGGTACTCAAGAGAGAACGCGGGCTTCTCCAAGGGCGGGGAGAGCCCCTACACACATACCAGCATTAGACACGAAAGCATGAAAGTCCACATCTCAAGAGGGGAGATGCGGGCGACACATGTGCTCGGCCGCGTGGGCGCAAGCAACACATGGGCTTGGGGCAGCATATGCGCCCATCTTAATATTTTTTAATTGAATCGCTGTGAATTATAAAGCCATTCGTGATTGAATTTCAGGCATCCAGTGTTCCGGCCTCAATCCCTTCACTTCCTTCTACCAGTGTCTCCAGTCTCCATCCCGCCCCGCAGCCTGTCTCTACGGCCGGCACTTTTCGATTTTTCTTTTCTCCTTTGAGGCACTGTGGTTTACAATGCTATTATTGAGAGGGTTTCGTGCGTGTCACTTTCGGCACCCAGACCTGGTCCAGAGTCTCCACTTCCCCCTACCGTTGTGGGCACCGTACCCCTCCCTCCACAGTGCTAGCTTCCTACTAAGGACCAGTTCTCCTGCTCTTCCTTTCTGTTGCCCTTGGGCATTAGTTGTTCCCCTACTATGTTTCTTTATGTTCTACATGAGTGTGATCGTTCTGTGTCTGTTCCTTTCCCTCTGATGCATTTCACTCAGCATGATACTCTCAGGATCCATCTGTGTATCAACAGATTGAGTGACTTCATCATTTCTTACGGCTGAGTGCTATTCCATTGCGTATATGTACCAGAGCCTTTTAATCCAGCCATCTCAGCTGTTTCATCTTGATTGGATCCTGGACTTGGAGCAAAGGCAGTTATAAAATATATTTGGGAGAGCTGGGTGCATTGGGGAGTGGATTTCAAATGATGGGGGGAGGGAGTTGACTTGCTTTGTTTTTTTTTTTTGTGCCACACCCAGCAGTGCTCAGGGCTCTGAGCTCAGGACACACTCCTGGTGGAGTTTGGGGGACCATATGAGATGCTGCCGATCAAACCGGAGTCAGGGGCATGCAAGGCAAGTGCCCTACCCCTTATATAGTTGCTCTGGCCCAGGAAATGGAGAGGTCTAAATAAGGACAGTCCGGCAGGTGATAGTATTCAGGAATGCCCAGTTTCCCCATGTTAATCACCATACTGTGGTTCTGTTAGGATACAGCAGTGTTCGTAGGACAGGGTGCTGACCTGACTGGGACAACCCACTCTTAAAAGTTAATAGCACGGTGGGTAGGGCGTTTGCCTTGTACACAGCCGACCCAGGTTCGATTCCCAGCATCCCATATGGTCCCCTGAGCACCGCCTGGGGTAATTCCTGAGTGCGGAGGCAGGAGTGACCCCTGTGCATTGCCAGGTGTGACCCAAAAAGCAAAAAAAAAAAGTTTAACAAAATTGGGGCTGGAGCAATAGCGCAGCAGGTAGGGTGTTTGCCTTGCACATAGCTGACCCGGGTTTGATTCCCAGCATCCCATATGGTCTCCCAAGTACCGCCAGGAGTAATTCCTGAGTGCATGAGCCAGAAGTGACCCCTGTGCATCGCCGGGTGTAACCCAAAAAGCAAAAAAAAAGCAAAAAGCTAAAAAAGAAGTTTAACAAAAATGAAAGTGTATGTGTATGAAGGAAGGTCAGGTGAGAGATGAATAAAATGAGTAGAAGAGAAAAGTATTTTACAGATTCTGGGAGATGTATGATATGGTTTCTTTGTTCTATTATTGCAGTGTTTCTGCATAATCTGAAATGATGTCAAAATGAAAAAAAAAAGCAGGAAAAGATCAGAGGTCAGACAAGATGGGGACTGGAGCGATAGTACAGCAGGGAGGGCTCTAGCCTTGCATGCAGCAAACCCGAGTTCGACCCCCAGCATCCCATCTGGTCTCCCGAACACCGCCAGAAATGATCCCTGAGCTCAGGAATATAATCTCGGAGCATCTCCAGATGTGACCCCAAAACCAAAACAAACAAAAACAAGACAGAAAAGAAGGGGCTGGAGCGATAGTACAGGGGGCAGGGCATTTGCCTTGCACGCGGCAAACCAGAGTTCGATCCCCAGCATCCCATCTGGTCTCCCGAGCACCTCCAGGAGTAATTCCTGAGTGCAGAGCCCGGAGTAACCCCTGAGCATCGCTGGGTGTGACCCAAAAAGAAAAAAAAAGACAAAAAAAACAGAAAAGAAAGTATGTTGGAGCTGAAAGAATTGGCCTGCAAGCTGGGAGAGGGGCTCTTCGCTTCATTCTGGCTCACTTAGTAAATCAAGGGTTTGGACTCACTCACGTCCACCTTGTATGCCAGGCCATCTCCAGTTCCAGATGCAGGGCCTGCTCCTTCCTATTTTGTTTTCAGGGGCCGCATGCAAAGCCACTCTGTTCCCACCAGGTGGCGCCAGCCCACCTCCGTCTCAGGGTCAAGCGGCACATTTTCCCGCTCTGGTCCCCCTGGCCCAGAACTTCCCTGCTGGGTACTGTCCCCCATTGCCTCTGAATCCCAGCTTCCGTTCTTGTAGCTGTCTCGTCGGGAAGACAAGAGCTGGTGGAAACAGCCGGGAGGTCGAGGCTGGCCAGCCTCAGGCGGGCGACCAGAGATCGAGCTCTGACTGGAGCCACGTCTCTCGGGGGTTTGGTCCCACCGCCTGGGAGAGGTGTCCTCAGCCCTTTGGCGGCGACTCACTGGGCCTGGCATGTGGGGACCAGAAGCAAAGGCTCAGGAATGCAGCCCTGTGTGGGGCGGGGAGAGAAGAGGGTATAGACGGCTCCTGGGCGCAGGAGTCAGCGGGGCCAGACCCCTGCACCCCTGGCCTCTTCCTGGCTCGCTCGGCGGCCCTGGCACATCCCCAGGGGACTCTGGGGGTCCCTGACCTGCTGGGTCCGCTGAGCGATTTCAGTTTCATACCTGTAAGAAGTGCCCCGGCCTCTTGGCCCTCTGAACCTTTGTGAGACACCTCTCTGATTGGCAGAGTGGAAAAAATAAAAAAGAGACGCTAAATATCCGAACCACAGAGGCAACACGTCCCAAGGTCTCGAGACCCGAACTTTAATCACCAAACCTTCAGGGTGCCTGTCCGGAGGGCAGGCCACAGCCGGGGCGGGGGCTGCGAGAGGGAGACGGGAACACGGGTGGGGGGAGTTGACGCTGGTGGCAAGACTGTTGATGAAACATTGTATGTCAGAAAGCCAACAAGGAACAACTCTGTGGTTCATGGAGCCTCTTTTTTTTTTTTTTAAAAATATTTTAATGGGGAGGGAAACTCAACCCGCCCCCCTCCAAGGGGCCCCAGCAAGGACAGCCAGTATAATCCCGGTGCCGTGTAATACCATCAATGGCCAAAACCCAGAGACTGTAAAATCCAGCTCCTGGAAGCGTGCGGCCGCATTTGCGGCCGCGCAACATCTTATTACCTCATTTTTGCTTTGGACAACCTGCAGGCTACCGAATGTAACCTGCCCATGTGGCAGAGTCTGGCAAACTCCAGTACCCAATATGCCAAATACCAGTAACAATGATGGGTCTCATTCTCCTAACCCTGAAAGAGCCTTGAATGTGGCACTTTTTAGAATTTCAGGGCTAGGACGAAGGAGACGTTACTGGTGCCTGCTTGAGGCAATTGACGAACAACAGGATAATCGTGATTGTGACTTTAATGAATCACCTGGGGAGGTACAGTTACAGATTTACAAACTCTCGTGCTTACGTTTCAGCCATACAATGATCGAGTACACATCCCTCCAGCAGCACCTGTTCTCCACCACCAGTGTTCCCAGTATCCCGCCCGCTTCCGTGTCAGGCACATTTCCTTTCTCCTCTCTCCTGGTTCACGGTGCCTTAATCAGATAAAATATTGAGGAAAAATGAAAAGATGAGTGCTGGGGTGGTACTGGGTGAGATGGGTAGGTTCCTGTAGTGCCGCTGGGGGTCCCCCGTTCTCAGCAGAGCCCGGGCAATTTTGGGAACTCGGAAGGAGCCAGAGAGGTGCCCGGAAGGAGCCAAGGGTGTGCGCACTGCTGGCGGCCTGGCTCTGCTCCGGCGCCCCAGGTGCAGGCTGTCTCCTCCGCAGTGTGAGGGGCCGCGGCTGGTGGGCTGGGGTGCCAGGCAGTGACAGTCACTTGGGGGGAGAATTGACTTTCAAGTTTCGGGGCCACACCCAGCAGGGCTTGGGGGCTGCTCCCTGCACTGTCCCCAGAAGTGCTCTGGGGTCATGTGTGTGACTGGGATTCTGACCAGGGTCGGTTGACAGGCCGCGCCTTTCTGTATTAATCCCGGCCTCTGGGCAGGACCGAAAAGAGGCATAGAGGACGAGTCTGCTCGTACCGAAGTTCAGACTTTTCGGGTGTGGGAGGCTCAGGGCCTCCCCCTACCCGGCATGCTCCCCACCACCATGCCCGGGTCCCTGGATTGGCCCAATCTAAGCCACGATTATCCCAATGTTGGCAGCTTGTAGTGATTTTTTTCCCCCCTTCTGTATTTGTGTTTTTTCTTTTTGGTAGGAGCGATTGCTTTTCATTAAACTTCACAATTTTTTTTTTTTTTAAAAAAAGTCCTTCCTTGGAAGCCGGCCTCACATGCTGGGGGAGAAGGCGGCTCAGAAAGAGAAGGAACCACCAAGTTAAGGGTGCTTGGAGGGCCCGCTTGGGATGGGAGATGCGGGCTGAAAGTAGACTATAGACCGAACACGATGGCCACTCAATACCTCTTGCAAACCACAACACCCAAAAGGAGAGAGAGCGCAAAAAGGAATGCCCTGCCACAGAGGCGGGGTGGGGTGGGGGCATTGGGAGGGATACTGGGAGCATTGGTGGTGGAGAATGGGCACTGGTGGAGGGATGGGTACTTGATCATTGTGTGACTGAAATGTAAGCACGAAAGTATGTAAGTCCGTAACTATACCTCACAGTGATTCACTAATGAAAAATTTTTAAAAAGTTACCTTCAAATAGGGGAAAAAAAAACCAAAGTCCTCCCATTAAAATAAAAACATTTTTTAAAAATTGGAAATGGGGGGCTGGAGTGATAGTACAGCGGGTAGGGCATTTGCCGTGCACACGGCCGACCTGGGTTTGATTCCCAGCATCCCATATGGTCCCCTGCGCATCGCCAGGAGTAATTCCTGAATGCATGAGCCAAGAGTAACCCCTGTGCATCACCGGGGCGACCCAAAAAGAGAAAAGAAAAATTGGGGAAAAAAAACCCCAAAAAATAGATTGGGGAAAAAAAAAGCCTCCCCCAAGGGCCAGCAGGGGGCGGCAGGTGGGGCGTCCTGGGCAGCTCGGCCTTTCTGTCCCGCAGTGGTGTCCGCCAAGCCCAAGGTGCACAGCCGGCAGCCGCGCATCAACTCGTTCGTGGAGGTGGCGGTGGACGGCCTGCCCAGCGAGACCAAGAAGACGGGGAAGCGGATCGGGAGCTCGGAGCTGCTGTGGAACGAGATCATCGTGCTGTAAGCACGGCCCTGATCTCCCCTGGCTCTGGCCCGCCTGCGGGGGGAGCCCGGGGGTGGGGGGGTGGGGGGCTGGGGGGGAGGCGGTGCCACTGATCTGTTTCTTGTTAGTGGTCGGGGTGGTCGGGGTGGCGGGATGGGCTGGGAAGGGATGAATCGGGCGCTTGTTTTCCAGGAATGTCACGGCCCAGAGTCACTTGGATCTGAAGGTCTGGAGCTGCCACACCCTGAGAAATGAGCTGCTGGGCACCGCCTCCGTCAGCCTCTCCAGCGTCCTGAAGAACAATGGGGGCAAAAGTACGTGCGGGCAGCCGTGGCCGCGGGGTGCGGGCGGGCGGCTGGTGTCTCTCTCGGCCTCCGCCTCGTGGGGCCCCAGGTGCGCGCGCCTGCTCTTTCCGGAGCAGGAGCGCTGGCCTGTCCAGTGCCTCCAATGCCTCCAGCCTAGGTCAGCCCTCTCTCTCTTTCTGACCCCGATCCCTGAACGGAGCAAGGGAGTTGCGTGTGCACTTGTGTGTGCATACTTGGGTGTGTGCATGTGCGTGCATGCGTGCGTGTGCGTGCCCCTGGGGCCTGTGCTATGGGCAGTGTCTCTGCATAGGCCCTGGACGAGTGCCCGTGGAGGCACCGTGCGACGTGGAAGGCCTCAGCACGGAAGCCCCATTTCCTCCTGCTCTCGAGGTGTTCTCTGAAAGGGGGAGCTGTCGGGGCGGGATATGGGTGGGGGAAGGAGAGAGTCCCCCTGCACCAACTCAGGCCCTGCTGGGCACCTAGCTGCTGGGCAGTGGGAGGAAGCCCTGGCCGCTCCCTGGGCGCAGTGGGCCTTGATGTTCTCGGCCTTCATCTGTGTTTCGTTGTGGTGCCTTTGCTGCCGTCGGAGCCTCTTTTTTTTTTGCTTTTTGGATCATACCCGACAATGCTCAGGGGTTACTCCTGGCTCTGCACTCAGGAATTACTCCTGGCGGTGCTAGGGGGACCATATGGCATGCTGGGAATCGAACCCGGGTCGACCACATACAAGGTAAAGGTCCGCTGTGCTATTGCTCTAGCCCCAGTCGGAAGCTCTTCGGACGGGCTGTGGGCACCGTGCGGGAGGCCCTGTCATGCTTCAGGTGTCGTCTCAGATGCTTTTTTCCTTGATTCTAAAACAAAATCATAGAAAAACTAGAAGTCACCCAGAGACACACAAAGAAAGTGAGCCCCCCTGTTGGCTCTGCTCTGATGATTTAGACACGGGTCTAAATCATCAAGGTTTGGACCCGTGTCTTGGGAGCCTTCCCCCCCGCCCCACTTCCCCGCCACTCTGTACAAACAAATATTAGTATTGAAGCCCTCCATGAAACCAAATTGAACTCATACACCAATATGTTTTGCGGCCGGCCTCTCTTTCTCTGCCATATCTTACTTATTTACTGCCTTATTTTGGGGCCTCCCAAGCTGCACCCAGGGAGGTTGGAGGCCGTTCCCGGTGGTCCTCCGCCGTCTGGGCTGACAGTGCTTGGGCCCGGCTGAGCTGGAGGCCTCCAGGGCTGCTCACGGCTCTGCCTGAGATACGACGCCTTGGGCATGTGCCCTGGCTCCAGGCTCTCCCTGCCCTTGCTGACTTAGCAACACCTCGAAATTCCATCGGAGCCCTTATGTGCTCCCTGTCCTGTGACCGAACCACGCCCCTTTCACCCAACTCCAGACTCTCTTGGGAATGGAAGCGGTGGGTGTTTGCCCTTTGACCCCGCCCTTGAGCAGTGGGTACCACAAGCTCCTCTTTTGGGGGGATTCAGTGGTAAGGCACTGACCCTGTCTGGGGGTGACTTGGTTTCCAGCCTGGCACCGACGGAGAAAAAGTAAAAGAAGGCAGAGTATCCTTTTCCGCAACGGGATCATAATCTATAGTACGGACCAAGCACATTTGTTGATTCTCCCAGCCATGGATCCTTGGGTTGCTTCCTCCCAACCCCCCACCATTTAAAAAATATTATTACTGTATTTTTGTGGTGCTGAGGATCAGCCCCAGGCCCCACGCCTGCAATGTGTGCACTTTGCCTCTGCGCCGTGTCTCTGTCCTTTCTCAAACGAGCGCTGCTCCCACCAGTGTGGGGACACACGACACTGGGATTGAACTTGGGACCTTGAGCAAGGCGTGTGCTTGGCCCGACCCTGCCTGCCCGCGCCTGCTGATGGTGACCCGGAAACGCTTCAGAACCCAGCAAAGCGCACACAGACCTCTCTCCAGATCCTACCAAAGTGGAGTTGCCGGCTTGCAGGGTCGTTTCACTTAGAAAGGTGTGAGGGGAGAGGAAGAGAGGAAGTCCGTGTGCAAGAGAGAGCACAGGCTCCTCCAGAGTGGAAAGAGGCAGGCGAAGAGACAGAGAGGCAGCACACGAGACACGTGTGCAGGGCAGAACGCGGCTGGAGGAGCGAGTCTGCGCGGTCATTGTGTTCTGTTTGGCTTTCGGGCCACAGCTAGCAGTGCTTTCTTTCTTCTGGCTCTGCACTCAGGGATCACTCACTCCTGTTGGGGACTGGGGGACCGTGTGGGGTGTCGGGATCAAACCCAGGTTGGCAACCTACTCGCTGTACTCTTGCTCCAACTCTGAGCTCTGTGTTAAGGGTGTGAGGAGTTGTAAATGTTTTTCCTGTATTTTATTTGCACGCTAATGTTGTAAGTACTGACCACCTCCACCCCGCAAACAAATGTTTTAGTTTTTTTTGTAATTAGATGTGTCCCCATTATATTTTCAAAATTTTCTTTGATGCTTTGAGAGTAGGTAGAGTCAGTTACTTCAGAGTTTGCTGAGTTTTCCTTTTTTTCACTTTTTAGTTTTTACTCGTGTGTGTGTGTGTGTGTGCGTGTGCGTGCGTGTCTGTGTGCATGCATGTGTATATGCATGCATATGTAAATGCACATATGTGTGTGGAGGTGGGCGTGTGTGTGCATGAGTGTGTGTATGCGTGAGTATGCGGGCTGCATCCTGAGGTGCTTGGGGTTACTCAGCTAAGTGCATGGGGCCCCTCCTGCAGTATTGGGGGACAGTGTGGTGTTAGGGAGTTGAAACTGGAGCACCGTGCAAAGGGTGCGCCTCAGTCCTTTGAACCAGCATTCTGACTCCAGTCTCCCTAAATACCTTTAAAATACCTTTCCTTTTTTCCTTAAATTTTTATTAGTGAAACACCACGAGGTACAGTTGTAGACTTGCAAATTTTTGTGCTTGGGTTTCAGTTATACAACGATCGAGTACCCACCCCTCCACCAGTGCCCATTCTCCACCACCACTGATCCCAGGATCCCTCCCACCCCCATCCCCCCCCATCCCACCCTACCTCTGTGGCAGGGCATTCCCTTTTGCTCTCTCCTTTTGAGTGCTGTGGTTTGCAAAAGAGACATTGAGTGGCAATCTTGTTCGGTCTATAGTCTACTCTCATCACTCATTTCCCATCCTGAGAGGATCCTCCCAACACCCTTTATTTGGTGCTCCCTTCTCTATCTGAGCTGCCTTTTCCCCTAGCGTGTGCGGCTGTCCTCAAAGCCATGGATGGAGTAATCCTCCTGGTACTTATCTCGGCTACTCTTGGGTGTTAGTCTCCTATTTTGTTACTTTATGTTCCCCAGATGAATGCAGTCTTTCTGTGTCTGTCCCTTTCTTTCTGGCTCATTTCGCTTAGCATGATACTTCCCATGTAGTAAAATACCTTTAAAATTATCTTTAGAGGGGTCTGAGCAATAGTAGTGAGGAAGGCATCTGCCTTACACATACATGGCTGACCTAGGTTCTATCCCCAGCATTCCATATGGTCCTCCAGCCCACCAGGAGTGAGCTCAGTGCAGAGCCAGGCGTAAGTAACTCCTGAGTGCCGAAAATGACACAAGACAAAACAAAAAAGCCAACCCTTTAGATGAATTCTTTAAATAGGTGCTTTTTGTTTGTGTTTTGTAGGTGCTTAGGTAGCCCCCTGGCTTGGTGTTTGCTGGGGGTGGGGGGTATGTGGAGAGCTGGGCTGGGTTGGGTCTTCCACTCCTCATGGTGCCTAGGGGAGCATCCAGTGCTGGGAATTGAACCCTGGCTCCTGTCTGCAAAGCACGTGCTCCAGCCCTTTGAGCTCTTTCCAGCCCTAAAAAAACTGTGGGCTACCCTTTTCCGTGCCCTGTTTACCTGAGTGTCTTTCAAACGCAGTGTTGCTGGTATATGAAGATTAGCTCATTCTTCCGTAATCAGCTTTTTTTTTTTTTAAATTTTTTAATTTATTTATTGAATCACTGTGGGAAAGGTTACAAAGCCTTCAGGTTTAGGTCTCAGTCATGCAAATATCAAACACATTTCCCTTTACCAATACTTATTTTTTACCATGAAGAACCCCAATAAACCCCCACCCCCCACCCCTCCCAGTCCCTGTGAGGCAGATGAATTCTAGTTAACACTCTATCTGCTTTGATTAGATTCATTGTTTCATTAAAAGATTCACCACTATTATTTAGAGTTAACCCCCGCCCCCCAAATCAGACATGCTGAAAAAGCATTGTGAAATGATTTGCTTTCTACAGCTGGGTTCAAGAATTAAATGTTGGTTTTGGATTTTGGCTATTTTACTTATTGACCCTGGAAGTATTTCTACTGAAAGTCAGATAGTTAAGAAATTGGTTTCTGTGCTCTGGAGTTGTGGCCGTGCTGGAGAGCCACTCGTGGGGGGCAACTGGTGGCCTCGGTAGGGCGTGAAGGGCGGAGCGAAACGCCCCCCTTCCCATGAGGTTTTAGTCGCCCCCACACCCCCGGCTCATACCTGCTGTCCACAAGGCTCCCATGCGGCCGCCATCTTTCTTTCCAGGGAGGAAAGGGCGAATGGGGCAACACCCTTTCCCCTCCAGACAGACATGATGGCCTGGATTAACGCATAGTCCGTTCACTTTTCTGCTCCAAGCTGCCGGGTTCTGCATTAAGTCCTTGTGCTTCTGGGGCCGTGGCTGTGCTGGAGAGCGGCTCACGGGGGGCAACTGGTGACCTCGGTAGGTCGTGAAGGACGGACCGGAACACCCCCCTTCCCATGAGGTTTTAGTCGCCCCCACACCCCCGGCTCATACCTGTTGTCCACAAGGCTCCCATGCGGCCGCCATCCTTCTTTCCAGAGAAGAGAGGGCGAATGGGGCAACACCCTTTCCCCTCCGGGCAGACATGATGGCCTGGATTAACGCATAGTCCGTTCACTTTTCTGCTCCAAGCTGCTGGGTTCTGCATTAAGTCCTTGTGTTTCTGGGGCAGTGGCCGTGCTCCAATCTTAACTCTGATTTTCAGGGAGAAACGTTGGGTGGT